CTATAATTTTTCAAAGAAAGGTCATGTAGAGCTGGGAGATGTCTCATTTTAATCAGAAATTTCCGGGCTACAATTGCACCTCATTAAGAAAGCTTTTAGGTATTCTCTAGAGTTTCTGGAAAGCTGATTTTCTGGAAAACGCAGTCTACCAAGGCCTAGCAGTAAAAACCATTGTCATATTCGGATTTAGCACACCCGATTACCTATTGTCCAGTGAGTCTTAGCCTAAAAGCGATTAGACAGTCGGTGTCCTTTCCTCGTGAGTTATGAAATTGTTAAGTTAGATTCAATAAAATATTAAAAGGTTTCTAAAAAATTTAAAATTATATTGCTTTTATTTCTTTTAGTATGGTAAGACGACCACTACCCGTGTGAAACATATAGAAACTTCTTGTTCACTCTGCGAAGAAAAATTTGCGTAATATACTTTGTTGTACTGGCACAGTTTAACAGTTTTAAATCTTTCCTTTTGTTCTGAATTTTCTTCAACTGACATTTTCTATATTATATTGTGTACATCACTCTTGCACTCCAGAAGTTTTGCGATCAGACTGTTCTCTTTTCATTTTTTCGAAAACAAGAGAATTGCATCGACGCGAGTGCTAATTAAATGTGAAATCCAACATTCTGATACCGCTTTCTTTTCTGTATACTTACAAATCACAACAATAGTTGGTACATATGCTTGGAGATTTTATTATTTTCTTTTTCTTTGCAAAGTTATAGAGTTTACAAGAAAAGCCCTGAATGTTCAGTGGCACCACAGAGCTACAGAAAGAAAAAAGAAAACTGGAAAAAATAAAAAGGAACGCCAGTGAGACTTGAAACGAGTTTTGTCAACGAGAAAAAAAATGAATAGTGTTGATAAACTTCTTATTACTAGTAATTCATCCGTAAAAGGTGAGTTAAAAATTTAAAAAAGAGATCCTTGTAAGGCTTGTTCAATAGAAAATGTTTACGGGTTTATTTATAAAAAGGAAAACTTCAGATAGAAACATGCTTATTTTCGCCATAAGCAGATAGTCCAAAGTATCACAGATCCATGATGTTAACCCCTCATGGCATGTAAGACCTATTATTGAAGTATGAATGTCCCATTAGTTCTTGGTAGTGAAAAGTGACGTTCAGATTAAAAAGCGTTTCGTGCAAAAAATATATATCTTTTCTAAAAGAAGAGTTTTGTACGGAACCTTAAGCTGAGAATAGTAAGTAGTACAGATTCCATCTTTAACATCCTACTATCTATGCATTTGTAACCGTTCAAATGTTATATTAACATATGCTGATTAGTTATGAGTATCATTTTTTTTCTTTCTCTCTTGTTTGTTTGTTTATTCGAAGAAGTAATGTTGCTCCTGCTATTCATTCCTTGTCTGTAAAGACTGCAATATTATTTGAAGGAAAACGAGTTAGCGATGTCTGGAGATGGCAAGCTGGTATTCAGACTTTATTCTATTGGGGATTATTCAAGCTTCCAAGCTCAGAATAACACGCTCTAATAAAAATTACGTATATAGGCCTCTTGGGTGTAAAGTTGGTTCCTAATTCGTCGAGACCTTCATATTGAAAAGATTATTCTGATTCACTTATTCTCATCTGAACAAGATGTTAATGTGTGGTGCTGCACCTTTCATAGATAGAGGTGGCACGTTACTATTACTTTTCCAGCGGTAAGTCTTCTTTTATAAAGTATCTTTGTCTTTTGTTCACAGCTACACAATGTCATTCTTGTTAAATTCCACTAACATCAGTACCATAAGCATCGTAGAACTATGGTTCATCCCAGTCGACGTCGTTATGATTCTCTTTTCAAGTACATCTGTTATTTTATCACTCACATTTCTTTTGATTGTTCTCTGTCATCCTCGTCAATGTTATTCGGTATCAAATATGCTAGTTTGTAATTCATGTTTATGTGAACTATTGTTCAGTTTATCAATGCTGAGTATGGCCCTTTTTACTTATATGAATGATCAACGAGAACAACAGATAGCAGATCATATGTGTATATTTCGTGGTTATTTGGGCTATGTCACAGATGCACTACAAAACTATAGCTATGCTCTACAAGCTATTTATCGTTATACATATGTTGTTCATCATCAAAAACGACTCTATCAAACTTATCGTTTACAATTCCTCTTCATATTGATTGTATGGATATTTTGTTTTCTGAGTGCATTAGTTCTGATGTTGAGCGAACAGATAAAATATAATTTAGATAATCAAATATGCCAATTACCATTGAGAAAAACATTATTTAAGCTCTATATTGGTTCGTGTGTTTATTGTTTGCCACTGATAATAATTCAATTTGTCTATTATAAACTTATTCGTTATCTAAGAAATATCAGTAATAATAGTGGTAGTACAACGGCTATAGGTATAATTCAAGCACAACGTGAAATGCAAGTGTTAAAACGCATTATTGTGTTAGTTTCAATACTAATTACAAACGGCTTTCCCTATTTGGTGTTTTGGTTCATTGCTTTTGGCACAGATCCACCGCTGTATCATTTTCGTATTAGCTTTTTGTTCGTCGATGTTTCGTTGGTACCGGTAATGATCGCAATGTTTAAGTTCAACAATAATGTTAAAGACATATTGCTGAAGTCAATTGCAAATTTAATGAGTCGAACAACAAAATCAGGACCTATAGCAAGCGACCAGCGAACACAACAAAAAACGTTTTAGCCATTCTAGGACTGACTTGTTTTAAAAAAACTTCAAACTGAAATAAATGAAACGAAATCCACATAGATCCGACGGCCTTGTATCGGTTTAATATCTTTTGTCCTTTTTCGAACATAACATGGTATTGTCTTTGCAACAATATAATATTAAAGATATTAAATTTAATGAATAAAAGTCTATAAGTGAATCTTGAAGTGTCTTATTTGATAATTGACATATATCACTAAGAAATTGAAATTGGAATGGAGCTAAGTAACGAAATCCATACACACTGTTAGTATCCGAAAATTGAAAATAATTTAACCAAGTATCAGTGATAAACACACTAGTACATAATTGATGAAATATTGAATGAATTGAGATAAATGAGCCATATGGAATGATGAGTGTTGTACATGGACAGGTGAGCCTAGTGGAATATTTTTGATTTAATTCTTCATATTGTGATTGAGATGGATCTTCAATTTTGAATGTTTATGTTCTACTCATCAATGATGTAAACAAAGTAATGATAAATAATGATACTAGTAATAATAACAAATATATTCGAGTTAATATAATTTGATTTTTTGTTTCATATTCATTATTTTCTGTTTGTGCATTTTTAAACATGTTAAATGTACATATAATTTTTTAAATAGCTATACGGGTTATGCCATCGAAAAACTGAAAGAAAACACGGTTCGCAGAATACAACTGATGGCATATATTTTATCCTGTTAAACTCACAATGTTGATTAGAAACTGAATGTTTCTATCGGCCACTATTCATTGGATCGAGCGATGCATTTCATTTCAAAAATAACCCAAAACTGGTCATTTTTTTCTAATGTCATAATTTTTGATAGGAGCGTGAGAAAAGTTTGAAGAATATTAATTTTTGTAGCTAAACTCTTTCTCTACAAAACAGTATGCATCGTATCTATATGGCCTATGTTTCGTGTGAAAGTTAGGAGTTTACAAGAAATTTGACCTTTAGGTACATTAGAGTATTCCGACACTTGAAGGTGCTCGAAAGTGCTTTAAGTCAGCTGATAACAAACTTCTAGCTGAAGAAAGATCGGATGAATTTTCGCTCATCTTTTCAAGTTAGAAAGAACTAAACCAAAACCATAACCTTAGTTTACTTTACTGTACATATTGTAAAAGTTTCAACCGTGTTGATCACAATTATCTAGCTGAAAGCACCAGAGCTGAGCTACAAATCAGAAGTCAAGTCAAGTCACTAAAAGAAATTTTAAGTCAAGTCAAGTGGAGGTCGAAAAATTTTTTCTCTCAAGTCAAGTCAGTCCTCGAAGTATTTTCCTCCAAGTTAAATTAATTCTGATTAAAATTAGACAGCATAAAATTCCGACACTTGAAAGTGCTCTTTGAGTCACGCTTGCCTATACTTCAGGCTATACGGGCAAGGATTTTCGGATGTCTATGATTACTCGATGAAGGATTTTAGTGCATGTCAAGATATTCTTTCAGATGCTTCAGCATATATGGTGCTTGATTTCCGTTCGCTACCATAAACAAAAACAAGACAACATTAGAGATTCTTTTCAACATAACAAAATTAAATATTCTGCCAGCGTTTCTCATGCTCCTATCAAAACTTATGACTTTAGAAAAAATGCCCCCATTTCTGGGTTATTTTTAAAATGAAATCCATCGTCCACTCCAGCGAATGAATGGCGGCCGAGAAAAACGTTCGATTTCTAATCAGCATTGTGAGTTTAACAGGATAAAATATATACCATAAAAATCCCCCAACTAAGAACTTTCCCTTGTCAATAGTTTTCCTAGATCAATGTCTTTAAGTGGCTTCTGTTGCACGGCGAAAATCACAAGTTTCGATCTCTTTCCTATTCAACGTTATTCGAAAACAATGGAATCCAGCATAATTTGCAATGTATAAGAATATATGAAAAAACCTGTTATAATCTGATTAAAATTCTGTTTTTCGAAAATTTTTTGTTAGAATTGGAAGCAGCGCACTTTGGTCTACCAGCTGGCGTATTAAAAACATTCGCCGTCGGAAATAAAATTGCCTATTTTCGGACGTATATGTCTTTGTTTTGTAGTATACATACTTGGCGAAGGTGTTATTCATTACTTGGCTTCAGTTTTTGTCTTATAAATCTCACGAGTGATGGTATAATTACTTTCAAAACCATTGTTAAACCACCGATTAAACCCAAAATTGTTGTAACAATGTAGAGTGCATTATTTTGTACCACATACGAATATGTACATGTTACTGGAGCAAGGTGTGATGGTGCAAATTTTGGATGTTGTAGATGTTATGGTGGTGAACGGCAATTTAGACTTTTTAGACTTTCTTCCAGAAAACTAGCCGGAGCCGGAGGAGATGAGGGCGGCAGTATGAGAGTGAGTCACCACACAAGAAGTTCAAGTCGAGCTACGGCAATGGATGTTACAGGATAGTTAGCAGATCCTAAAAGTCTAAAACTTCTAAATCGTCGATCACTACCATAACATCTACGACATCCAAAAGTATTCAACTTGAACTTCTTGTACGGTGAGTCACTCCCATCCTCGCCCCCTCCGGCTAGTCCGGTTAGTTTTCTAGAAGAAAGTCTAAAAAGTCTAAATTACCGTTCACCACCATA